CCCAGGATCTCTCAGACGGGCTACAGGGCCTGACCCTGGACCCTCATCTATAGAGGGCTGTACTCTGTCTCCCTGCAGGGCAAGGAGTCCATAGGCTCAAGGAGACAAGCCCTAAGAGCCCACACCGCCCCCTTCCTGACCTTGCTCCAGACACTAAGGTCCCTAGAATCCTCCATTTAAATAGGCCCTTAGGCTTCTTCTGGTGCCTCAGTGGTAAAGAACTGCAATGCAGGAGATCCAGTTTCAATTCCTGGGTTGGGAAAATCCCCTGCAGAAGAAAATGGCAAGCCACTGCAGTATTCTTGCCTAGAGAATCCCCACGGACAGAGGAGCCTGGCAGGCCGCAGTCCACGGGGTCAGAAAGAGCTGGACACAACTGAAGCAACTAACGCTTTCACACTTTAGGTCACTTCAAGAGCTTCTTTCCCAACCAGTCCTTCTGAAGGCAGCCTGAGCGGGGGGCAAACATCCCTGAACCCACAGGGTGGCCACGTGTGTGTGCTAAGTCACTTCAATCGTGTCCGACTCTACAACCCTATGGACTGTAGCCTGCCAGGCTCTTTGGTCCATAGGATTTTCCAGGAGAGAATACTGGAGTGGGTTGCTATTTCTTCCTGCAGGGGATCTTCCCGACGCAGGAATATAGGACCCACATCTCTTACGTCTCCTGCATTGGCAAGTGAGTTCTTTACCACTAGCACCACCTGGGAAGACCCATAGGGTGGCCAAGGGGTGGTCATATGTGGTTAGGATGAGGGTGTGTGTTGGGCTTTGGGGGTTCAGGCTGAGGCCCTCCCTGTGGAAGGTGGGCAGAGGCAGGGTGGCTTCGGCAGGGAAGGGGTGCTCCATCTGCACACTGGCTGCAGGCTTCTGACACCCACTCCCACAGGAACACACAAAGCTCCCCTACCCCAGAGCCCTGACAGCCAACTTCAGCCAGGGGAATCACTCAAAAGCCAATCATGACCGACCACCCTTCCCAGGGCGGTCCTTGGCACCCAAGGAGCGCCAACCCCAAAGGGAGCCTGGGCCTTGGCTTCCGAGACAGCTCCCGGGGCTGGGGGATGGAGAGGAAGAGTAGAAAGGAGAAATCCAGCTGACTAGGGCTGCATCTCTGCTGAGTAGAGGGTGGGGCCCAAAACAGTCAGGCTTCGTGCCCGGAGCCCAGCTTGACATCTCCCCAGGCCCTGCCAGCCCTGCCTGACTCAGAGGGTGGGGTGACCCAGGGAGCTCTCACCGCCGGAGGCACCCCGGGGGACCTGTCTGGCCAGTTTCCCCATATTTGCCTCATTGGCATTTCTTTAACTCCTCATATGCATTGCCCTGGAGATAGTCGGGTTCAGACTGGGGTAGGGCCACAGGCAGCCCCAGAGACAAGTTTGCCCTTCCCACCACCAGCCGTCCTACCGTCCTACCATCTCAGCTCTCAGAAGCTAGGGACAGGCTCTGGCTTGAGTTCTGGGCTGAGCTTCCCCTTGGAGGGAGAAGGAAGTGGGAAGAAAGGACACTTCCCCCACTCAGCCCAGGCCCATCCATTGTGGTATAGACGGGAATTGGGAGGAGAAGACTTGGGCTTGGGGTCTGTCTCTGCCTCCATGGAGCTGAGGGAGTTGCATGCATCCCTCCTCCCTGGGCTTCAGTTTTCTTATTCTGACGCTAACCAAGTTCCAACCCACCCCCGCCCCCCCCCAACCCCCAGTTTTGAGGTTTGCCATGCTAATCCAGCTCCTTGGAGCTATCAGAGCAGGAAGTCGGGGCGGGGTTGGGGGGGGAGCCCTGGAGGGCCTGGCATCTCTGGGGGCCTCCAGGGAGCTGACCCCACCTCCTGCCCCTCTGTTAGTGAGTTATTTGAACACAGAAAGTCACAGCTGAAGAGACCCTAGCAGATCATCCCATGTAACCCTGCTGACTGGGTGAGGAGCCAGAGGCCCCAGGAGAGGAAGGGCCTCACGGCCCAGAGCAGAGCCAGGACTGGTGCCCATCACCCGAAGATCAATCCAGAGCCCGTCCCAGACACCGAGAGGTCCCAGGGTCCTTCTTGTAACTGGCCTTTGGTGGCCAGCTGTCTGGGGAAGTATGCAGTTGGCCAAGATATTTCTCCATCCTCTGCACTTTCACCTCAGTAGGCAAGGAAGGTCTAGGAAGGAAGCAAAAGCACCAGCCATGCCCTTCCCCCCTCATCTTGCCCTCCCCTCTCACACCGTCCCACGGGGGGCTCGTGAGGGGTCGTGAGAACAACTGTGAGCTCAGAAGACGGCCCAGCCTGGATGGCACTCAGGGAAGAACATGGGCCTGTCATGGGCACTGCAGCCTGCCCCCTCCCCTGCCCCAGGGTCAGGCCTGGGAGGAGCCCCCTGAGTGTGGGAAGGCAGGACAGGGAGGGGCGAGGCCCCGCTGTGAGGCGGTGTCACAGCCCAGCTCCCCACCCGACCTGGCTGGGCAGGGGGGGGCGGGGCTGGGGGGCAGGGTGTGCATGTGCACGTCTGTGTGTGAACCCGCACCACCCGCAGTTCTGTCCTCCTGCCTCTCATTCTCCCGGCCTTCTGCCCCGGCGAGAAGAAAGCAGAGGCCCCAGTCCAGAGCCTAAGGCAGAGGAGCTGGATTCCCCGTAACCCAAGAGTGGGTGATGAAGGATGCTGGGGCTGCTTTGTATCTTAGGACCTGAGTCAGGAGCAAAACACGTCCCGGGGTCACAGGCAGTCAGGCTCAGGGCTCCTAATCTCAAGGTGCATCATAGGTAGATGTCCGGGGCCTGAGATCCCTGTGCTGGAATTGTAAGCAAGATCGTGTCGACGTGGCCCACAGCCTCAGCATGGTCTCAGAGGGGTCTGTGATCCCCAAAAGGCCAGGCAGGAGTTCAGAGAGGCAGACATAGGAGATGCAGGTGGTTCTGCAGGCTGATGCTGGCAGGGAAGAAGGAAAAGCTTCTAGGTTGTAGGTGGAGGGGCAGGTAGGATGGCCCGATAGAACTTGGACCCTGGAGCCTGGCTACAAACCCCAGCTCTGCCATTTATAAGCTGCGTGTCCTTGAGCACGTTACTTCCCCATCCTGAGTGTCAGTTTCTCTATCAGTTCAGTTAACACACGCTAGACATTGGGATGGTGCCTGACACATAGGAAGGCACGTGTCGGTCACGATCTCATGGCCACGCCAGCTGCACAGTTGGCACTGAAGGCATGGAATGACCTTCCCTTTCTGGGTTCAGTTCCTGCTAGTGTGAGGGGAGGCCAGTGTGGACCCCACGAGGTCCCTTTCAGTCGTGGATGCACAGTGTGTTCATCCCCTCGTCCTCACCAATGAGGGGCTGTGAGTTTGCTGGGGGGAAGCCCCCATCTCCTGGGACAGAGTTTGAGGCTGGTCCTGAAGGGCTGTTCCCAGGCCAGTGCCAGCCAGCAGACCCTAACCCCGGGCAGCGCTCCCAGTCAGGCCCTGGTTGGCCCAGATCAGATCCAAACCAGAGGACCCAAACCAGAAGGGAGGAGGGCAGAAAGGCATGGGGCTGTGCTGTTACTCAAGTGGTCCAAAGTGGATGGGTGGGTAGAGGCAGGGATATGGGATGCTGGCCAATCAGAACAAACTCAGTTATGCCGCATTAACCCTCTACTTGCTGGTGCAGACCTCAGAGAGGAGCTAAGAGAGCAAGAGCCACTCAAGGGGCGACAGCCATTTATTTCAATATTTTATCAACCACAGTGGGCACGGGTGTGTCAGCCCTGGGTGCCCACCGCTGCAATTGTGAGTATGCGGAGGTGGTTGTGCCAGGCGGTGCTGGGCAGAACTTGTGGGTGCAGGGACCAAGGTGTTGGGTGCTGTGAGGTCTAATGGGCCCCTGAAAACTCAGATCAGGATTTGGTGCCTTCTGAGTTGAGGCAGAACAGAGCCTCATGGAGGTATGAGATGCTGTGATCCCTGTGACAGTATTGTCCCAACCGGGACCCAGGTCTCACAGATGGTAATGAACCTAGAAGTTATGAGGCTGACTGTTTAGGTCTAAATCTGGGCTGTTGTATGTGCTAGCCACTGACCATAAGTGGCTATTGAGCCCTTGAAATGTCAAGTTCAGAAGCAGGATGTGTGCTCAAAGTGCGACACACTAGACTTTGGCAACTTAGCGTGAAAGAAAGAATGTAAAACATCTCAGTCGTACCTTCTACGTTGGTTAGAATTGGAATGATCATCTCAGGACTAATTTTACCTATTTCTTGTTCATGTTGCTACTAGAAATGATAAAGTTATACACGAGGCTTGCACTGTATTTCTATTGGACAGCACGGGCCTAGGCTGTCTTGGAAAAGCCAGAGCTCTCGTCACAGTAAATAGAACCAGTCACAGAGAGATTGTTTTGAGTCTCTTTCCCTTGTCAGAGAACAAAAGCCCAACCACAGGCTCCAGAAGGGAGTGTTTGGTTTCTGGCAGTTTCAGACTCACAAATAAAGCAGTCCACATGCCCTTCTCCCAAGGGTCACTGCTATTTGACCTTTGAGACAGTTGAGGTGTTGCCTCTTCCAGGAAGCCTTCCTTGACCAACCCCTGTGGCTAGGTCGGCTGCTCCTGCTCTGGCCTATGTATTAACAGTCTCTTTACCAATTCATCCCCTATACTGGGCAGGGGGTTCCTTGAGCAAAGCTGGCTCAATCATCTCTGAATCCCAGCATTCTATGCAAGGCCTGGCATGGAGCAGGCAGCCCCTGGTAAGTGTAGAATAGGAGTCCCATTGAGCTGGAGGTACCCACCGCTGCATTGCTTCTGCACCCAAGTTCCCCATAACCCCTCCTGAGGTTTCGACTCAAAGGAGCTGCCACCGCTAATCTCAGCCTTCCTGTCGTGAACCATGCCTCCTCCCAGTGGCCGCCCTCAGTTGGCATCAGGAAGGAAGAGGATGGACAGAGGGTGAGGCTGATGACCACTCGGACAAAGGCAGGTGGGGCTGCCTCCTCTGTGGCAGCCCAGATGGCCCGCCCAGAGCAGACCCTCCGACCTCAGGGCAGAACATACTCACCAGCGGAAGAAAAGTGAGCAGGGGCCGGACCCTTGGCCGAGCTTTCAGCGTGGCTGTTCCCGATTCACTCACGGTGTCAAACCGGTTGTCTCCATAATAGATCCCATCTAGAGGAGACAAGAGGGGGCAGACCATGACTGGGGATCAAGGGCATGGGAGCCGACTGAGTTTCGTCTGCCCTGCAGTTCCCAGTAAGGAGGACCAAGCCCCTGGTGGCCCCTGCTTGGCTCTGCCTGGCGCCTCTTCATGACAAGATCCTACAGGTGGGTGTGCGCTGGAAACAGCACTGCAAGGGACTCCAGCCGTGGTTTCTCGGGGTCTCCTGGGGCTTTCGGCCCCCAGCAGCCATCTGTCTTCTGATCCACCCTCTGCAGGATCTGAGCCTTCACTCCCACAACAAGACCCTCCTTTGGGGGCGCTGAGAGCGTGGCCAAGGCCCCGGCTAAGGCTTATCTCTGAGACAGGGAAGAAAACAAGCTATTTTCTCCCAAGTGTTTGAATTTCTAATCTGAAACAAGCAAAGCAGATAAGGCCACCCAGTGGCTCAGCACCCACCTTTTACTCTGCTAACCTGAGATCTCTTTTATTTATTTGTTTATTATTTATTTGGCTGTGCCGGGTCTTAGTTGCGGCATGTGGGATCTTTAGTTGCAGCATACAAACTCTTAGTTGCAGCATGTGGGATCTAGTTCCCTGGCCAGGAACTGAATCCAGGCCCCCTGCACTGGGAGTGCAGAGTCTTAGCCACTGGACCACACAGGGAAGTCCTTAACCCAAAATTTCTTTAGCCCCCAAACCATCAATGATTGGGGGTCATGGCTCCATTTGAGGTGCCCTTGAGGGCAGAGCAGAAAGAATAGGACAGTAGGGTCCACCTGATTTAATACAAATCCCAGCTCCACCATGGACTTGCCATGTCACATAACCTGTCTGAACCTCAGTTTTCCCATCTGTACAATGGAAACGATGATGGGGCCAGCAAATGTGGTTCTGTTCCCTGTAGAAAGATGATACAGAATATTTCTCTTCCTCTAGTTGCTGGACCTGTGCTCTGGGTTGTTTCTACAGGAGTGGGAGGGAGTGAGACGCTAGTCACATTTTCTCAACCAATCACCTTCATGACTCAGCACACTTTGATGGGAATTTCCCATCCTGCCCCCAGATTCACACTGTCACCTCCGAGAGGCAGGAGTCACTGCGGACCTACTACTACATGGGCCATGAGCAAGGAGGACTTTCTCCATTTATGGGACGTGGGGGACTTCCTCTTTAGCCAGAGAGGACAGAGGAGAAAAGTCAAAATTCCAACGAACTAGTATCCTACTAACTGAAATATTGGATGAATGGTGATTACTTTTCCTCTTATACGTGACTTTAGGGAGAAATTGCAAGAGTTTACAGATCTGACATAGAGGACCTTGGATATGACATGGAGGCTCCAGCGGGCACCCTAGAAATGGGGCCCAGAAACCTTTGTGTGTTGCCCTACCAGGCAGAGAGTTGGCTGGCACATTCCAGATTCTCCACCTTTCTGAGGGACCAACACGGCAAGCTTTTCCCTCGTCCCTGGAAATTCCAGTTCCCAGCACTGCCACATCCCATAAACTCTGGGCAAACCCGATTTCCCAGTGTGGCTGCCAGGCTCCACGCCTGAGCCTGGAGTCCAGGATGCCAGGGGGTGGGTGGGGAGGGAGAAGAAGGTTCTAAGAGTGTAGATTTGGCCCAATCAGAAACAAGAAAAGTAGAGATAACCACAGCTCCAACAGCTAACACTAGAGCCCACCCAGTTCTCGCTGGCTCTAATGCCTCACCAGCGCATTGACACCAGGGTTTCCTGGGACGTTATCTAGACAGGGCTGTTTTGAAACCAAGGACCTAGATCTGACCTGGCAGCTAGATCCATGGCTACCTGGCCCCTTAGTAGGACAGGGGGTGGAGTGGGGACTAACCCAGGCATGCTCCCCTCTCTCTCACTATTTCATTTAAATCTGTACCAGTGTTGGGGTTAAGGGAGCATCCTCTCTGCAGTTGAGTTATCACAATACTAATAGTTACTATTATTGTGTACCAAGGAGTGTTAGGGGTTTCCTGGTAGCTCATGGTAAAGAATCCACCCGCGATGCAGAAGACCCTGGTTCAATTCCTGGGTTGGGAAGATCCCCTGGAGAAGGGATAGGCTAGCCACTCCAGTATTTTGGGGCTTCCTTGGTGACTCAAAGAGTGAAGAATCTGCTTGCAATGAGGGAGACTTGGGTTCGATCCCTGGGTCGGGAAGATCCCCTGGAGGAGGGCATGGCAACCCACTCTAGTATTCTTGCCTGGAGAATCCCCATGGACAGAGGAGCCTGGCAGGCTACAGTCCATGAGATTGCAAAGAGTCAGACACGACTGAGCTGACTAAGCATAAGAGTTTTAGAAGCAAGCAACCTGGCAAGCTGATCACTATAATAGCAGTAATAATATAATACCAGGTAGAATTTATTGGACACTTGTAATGGGTCAGGCACGCTTCTAAGCATCTTTCATGCATGCTCAGTCACTCAGTTGTGTCTGACTGTTTTCAACATCAGGGACTCCTCTGTCCAAGAATGCTGGAGTGGGTTGCCATTTCCTCCTCCAGGGGATCTTCCCAACCCAGGAATCGAACCTGCATCTCTTGCATCTCCAGCATTGGCAGCAGGATTCTTTACCTCTGAGACACCTGGGAAGCCCACAGATTCCATGACTCAGCCCATCTTCTGAGGCACTGTTGTCTTAGTTGGTTTGTGGTTGTTTTGAACTGGGGAACCCTTTCTAAGAACATGATTGTTCTCTGGAATAACTGTGGGAAAGGAGCAGCTCTGGTAGAGACAGGCGTGGAAGGCCCAAGTGGCTCCCTTCCACGGGAGCACCTCTTGGAAATACAAGTTGCTTTCCCAGTTCTAAGAGGTGTGACTGGGATTCAGGGAAGGAAATATGATGAGAGAAGCAGAGGCAAAGTGGTGTGATGTGTGAAAGACTCAGTTGGCCGTTGCCACCTCTGAAGATGGAAGGGGCCACGAGCCAGGGAGTACAGGCAGAAGGTAGAAAACATTCTCTCCTAGAACCTCCAGAAAAGAACAAAGTGTTGCCGACACTTTAATTTTACCCCAGTGAGATCAGACTTCTGATCTACAGAACTATGAGATATTAAAGGTATGTTATTTCAAGGGGGACAAAAAAAAAAAGAAAAAGAGGTGTGTCTGGAACCTGACACACTTTCCTGGGCCCTCATACCCGGGCTCAGTTCCCAGCTGGTCAAGTCACACCAGCAAGTGGGGTAAGTGTGACCGCTACTGTATGCTGGGATGCCCAAGAGTTCAAGGTCAGGGCTGGGGCTTTCTGAGTCTCAAGGTCAAGGTCTAAAATAAAGAGAAAGACAACAGAATCAAACTTTGGGGATTTTCCTGCAGAAGTCCCTGAACTCTGCTGGGATCAGTGTCAGGGACACTAGAATAATTTTCTGGGAAGCCCCATCCTCAATGGAGGAGATAAAGGAGGGCCTCTTGAGGGAGATGAAGTCAGGAGATGAAGCTGGTGATAGAGAGGAAGCTGGATGACTCTACCCATGGGGGCAGAGACACCAGGAGGCAGGTGGCCCTTTGCTCCCTTGTCGGGGAGAATTCTAGAGTCTGGACCCTTGGGGCTGCCCTCTGTGCTGATGGGGAGACTGAGGCACGGAATGGCTGGGGGGGTGGCGCTGACCCAAGGTCTCAGAGCAGCAATGGTGCCAGGGCCCAAATGGGGTCCCCCTTGCAGTGTTGGGCTCCAGGCACAAATAAGGGGGTGCCCTACACATGGCACATGGCTTACTGCCTCTCCCCAAATAGGCTGACCTAGTTTTCTCGGTTTGGAGCAGGATGTGTGTGTGTGTGTGTGGGTGTGTGTATGTTATGTGGAGGGGGGAACCGCCACCTCTCGGGGAGCTGAGGACTGGGTACCCATGACTGCCTCACTCCTAGCCCTTCCTTTCTGCTTCTCCCCAAAAGGAGGAACCTCTCACTAGGCTTTCTTTCCTCATAGAGCTCAGGGTTGAAAGCCTGACAAAATGCTCTTCCTGCCCCAGCCCCAAAGCTGCCCATGGGTCTCCATGGAGGCTGAGGTTCAGGACAGTTATTTAGCTCCTTCCTCAAATCCTAGATAGGTCCAAACTAGAGAGGAAAGGAATGATAAAAATGTAACTGTCTGGAACTTGCCTGGTGGCCCAGTGGCCAAGACTCCAGGCAGCCAGTGCAGGGGGCCCGGGTTCGATCCCTGGTCTGGAAACTAGATCCCATATGCTGCAACTAAGAGTGTGCCGCAACCAAGCCCTGGTGCAGCCAAATAAAATAATTGTTTTTTTTTAATGTAACTGTGTGATACCTGATATGCATATTATGAACTAGGACCATTCTAAGCTCTCTTTACATCCCTCTTCACACACCTGTGTGGGAGGCACTCTTACTATCCTCATCTGCCAGATGAGGAAACTGAGGCTCAGAGAGGTCAAGTCCCCGGCCCAGGGTCCCACAGCTGGTGAGTAGAAAAGGCCAGGATTCAAGTCCAGGCAACCTGACTCTAGAATCCAATTCCCTCTGGCTACAGCCAGCACACCAGGGAATTAGCACAGGAACTTGGTATCTCTTTGCTCAGTCTCCAGTGAACCTGAAGAGCTGGTGAGGCCTGGAGGAGACAAACGCATCCAGGAGTCAGATCTGAGGTCTTGCCCCAGCTCCTCTGTGTAGCACTTGAGGACTCTGAACACTTGCTCTGGCTGGGTTGCCCCACCGTCAAATGGGGATCCTTTTGGGAGAAGCCTCCCAAAATCAAGGGAGAGATAAAAGCTAGCAGAGCTGAGAGGAAGGCTGGGGTGACAGTGCGGGGTCCCAAATTGCCAGGAGCCCCCAAAAGACCCCACGAGCACTGGCCACGGGTCTCATCAAATTCCAGGTGCTGGGGGCTTCTCTGGTGGCTCAGTGGTAAAGAATCTGCCTGCAGATGCAGGGGACAGGGGTTCGATCCCTGATCTGGGAAGATCCCACATGCCATGGAGCAGCTAAGCCTGTGCTCTAGAGCTGGGCAGCCGCAACTACTGAGTCCTCATACTGCG